TCCCTGGAGACCAGGGTTCGATTCCCACCTTTTCACACTTTTTCCCTTCCTTTTCTCACAAAACGTTTACTGTATTAATGGGCCGGCCCATGTGCGTGGCTTCACATATCTTTTTTTAATTTCATTTTTCTCTTTTTTCTTTTCTCATTTTATTTCCGTTTCAGAAAATAAAATGTTTGTGAATTCAAAAATGGAAAATTCGGGATATTCCATATGTTTCTCATTCGAGATATTCCAAATTTAAAAGGTATGAGTTTCAGAAAATTGTTAAAGAAATCATAAAATGTTTGTGCATTCAAAAATGGAAAATCATCAAATTTTCTCGGATTCGAAAAGTGTCGGTGATTTTACATACTGTTCACAAATTATAAAAATCATGATTTTAAAAAGTGGTCAGGAAATAGTATCATGTTCATGATTTTTAAAAAATAACCATGTATTCGAAACACATTCGTGTATCTGAAAAAAATTCCATGAAATTTTAGAGCTTGTTAACAAAAGTTCAAAAAAATTACAAATTCACAAAAGTTCAAAAAATCACAAATTTTAAAACTAATTCTCCAATATTTTTAAAAATCATCGATTAAAAAATGTTGAGTCAAAAAATGTTGAAGTATTTGAAAATTATTCATGCATTTCAAAAAATGCTCATAAACAAAACGAACGTTAAATCCAAAATTTTAAAAAAGAACTTTTTCGATTCGCTAAACTGTTCGCCGATTCAAAAGTCTTTTAAGTATAGGATTTGATTAGTTTTTGAAAACTCTTTATATGTCTAAGCATTGTTAGTAGTTTGTGGTTGATGAGATAGAAAAATTTAAGTTTTAGACATTCCCTTGCGCAACATAATGACAAGTGTGGCGTGAAGTGGCAAAGCTCATAACCTTGGGATTTACCACGTCAAATGCATTATGATCACGTGGACATCGCGACCATCATTAGCAAGGGTGAGAGAAAAGATAAGTGGCAACATGGTGAGCCTCCGTGTTAAAATAGAGGAAGCTCATATGTCGTGGTATTAAGTCCAACTTATTAGACTAACGCATAAATTTTTTTCTAAATTTTTTATCTCCCGTTGCAACGCACGAGCATGTTTGCTAGTAATATAAGAGTGTTTTTGACTCTAGCGTACGGTGGGGGAGGGAGTAGTAAATTCTAAATAAGACCTTCCCTGAATAAATAATGTTAATTTTGTGTGTGTCACGAGAGGGCCACGTGTGGATGGGCCCACAGAGCAGAGAGACGGACGTAGGATTAGGCGGAACGACGACGACCCACCTCTGTTCGTACGCCGACGACCACATCCATTCCATCCATCCCCTTGTCGCTCGCCCACTGCTTGCTTGCCGTCGTTCGAGCTTCCTCGCCGGGCTACTGCGTGGTGCACGGGGCCTCTCGATCCCGCTAGGTACGGCCCCGGCCCCGTCCCCTTCCCTGCTGCGGTGCTTCCATCTCCTCCCGTCCCGCGGCTGCGCGCATAGTCCTGCGCCGGCTTACCTCCGTCAATCGACAACAGATCCACTGTTCACCGTCGGTGCGCTTGATCCATACCGCGAACAGAGAGAGCCAACTCTGAGCTGTTCACGTGTCGCCGGCGTCCCTCTCCTCGTCGGGCGAGGCGCCGGCCGGGGCTACTTCGTGGCCGGCCATCCTCCACGGCCGATCAATCCCGATAGGTACGGCCCCGTCCCCTCCCTCCCTCCCTGACGTGTTTCGATCTCCTCCTTATGCCGCCGCTGCTCCCATCCGGCTAGCTCGTTTGGCGCAGCAATGGTTTGGCTCACCTCCGTCAATCCATTCTCTTTCAGGGTTCATAAAATTCCACTATTCACCGTCAGTGCGCCAACAGAGCAACCTAACTCTGAGGTGAGGAACTATTTGTGCCCTTCTTAGATCTCTCACATCGGAGCGATTTCTAGCTTGTTCAGTGTTAATAACAATACATCCTCCTTTGTCCTTTCCTTTTCATGTTGCCAATCTTGTAGAGCCATCCACAATTTTGTAGCTTGTTCTGTGTTAATAATAATAATACATCCTCCTTTCCGTTTCATGTTGCCAATATTGTAGAGCGATCCACAATTTTGTAGCTTGTTTGTGTTAATAATAATACATCCTCCTTTCCGTTTCATGTTGCCAATATTGTAGAGCGATCCACAATTTTGTAGCTTGTTCAGTGTTAATAATAATACATCCTCCTTTCCTTTCATGTTGCCAATTTTGTAGAGCCATCCGTCATTGTGATCGACCGACTCTGCTAACCCAGTGAAGAAAATTCCAGGTTTCAGGACAGGATCCTCCCCCTCCCCTGCCCTGCTTCCATCTCATCGCCTTTCGGCGGCACATGCATGTTGGTCAGTAGATTGTTCAGTGCATTTATGCTTACTTCGATTAATCCTCTTTCAGGGTGTTTGTTGATTGACCAAGCAAATATACTACTGTAGCAGCTGCTTATTATCGTCAGTGCATTCGACCTACACGACTGGTTGGTACATAGCCATCCACACCAAGTTAACTGCTGAACTAGCGTGATCATGGAGGGGGTCATGGTGAGTGCAGCCACAGGGGCCCTCAACTCTGTCCTAGACAAGCTGGGCACTCTGCTGGTCCAAGAGTACAACCTTCACAAGGGGGTGCACAGCGAGATCAAGTTTCTCACTGCTGAGCTTACCGCCATACACGCCTTTCTCCTCAAGATGTCGGAGGAGGAAGACCCTGATGTGCAAGATAAGGTATGGATGTCCAAGGTCCGGGAGCTCTCTTATGATATAGAGGACTCCATCGATGACTTCATGCAAGACGAAGCCAACAAAGATGCTAAGCCAGATGGCTTCATAAGTAAGATCAAGCACATTCTCGGCAAGTTGGGGAAGAGGAAGGCTCACCATCAGATGTTCCAAGATCTGAAGCAACAGGTCACTGAGGCGGGCGACAGGAATGAAAGGTACAAGACTCGCCAGGCCTTCTCCAACATGAAAAGTGCAACCGTTGACCCTAGAGCTCTTGTTATCTTTGAGCATGCCTCAAGCCTCGTGGGGATTGGTGAACCGAAGGCCGAGCTAATCAAATTGTTGATTGGGGAAGATGGAGTTGCATCAACGCAACAGTCACAACAACTGAGGATGGTCTCCATTGTTGGATCTGGAGGAATGGGCAAGACAACTCTCGCAAACCAAGTGTATCAACATCTCAAAGAGAAATTCAACTGCAAAGCTTTTGTATCAGTGTTGCGAAATCCAGATATGATGAATATCCTGAGAACTATTCTTAGTGAAGTTAGTGGTCAAAGTTATGCTGCCACAGAAGTAGGGAGCATACAACAAGTCACCGAGAAGATTCGTAATCACCTAGCGGAGAAAAGGTACAATTTCTACTTATTCTTTTACTTGTCACATTTCACATGAAAATCATACTAGTAGCTTGCCAGCAAACATAATTATAGTTGTATGCGTACATTTTAATATATATTTTTTCTAATATGATATTAGAAAGTGTAATGGCCAGATGACCATGTTGATGCCCAAAACAATAATTGAAATGGAACAGAGACCTTGTGAAAACAAATCAACAAACTAACCTAAGAGACCATGGCCATGTATTTTTCTTTCTTCTGAATTCTGACATATTACGATCTCCAGTACATAGCTCCATTGATTGACTTCACACAAAGACTAAGGTATAATTCCCACGACATGCCTTAGTGTTTGCATGTCTAGCATTACTTAATAACTACCAAAATATTTGCATTGCGGTCAAAGTATTTCCATGGCACGTGAATTTTAACTAATTTCTAACATAATTTTTTGCAGGGATTTTCTAACATAATTCGAACACATGTCAAACAATTCAAATGGAAGTTACAGTCAAATGATTCTTTGTTTGGGCTTATATTTTAAAGTATCATTAATTTTTGTGGTGACTAAAATATTTTTGAAACTAAAATTTGGAACCATGGCTTTACCCATTTCGTCTCGAATCACCGGCTGTTCAGAACCACGCCTAGATTCTTTGTTTATTGCCCACACCCACCCATAATTAGTTGCCTCGCTATGATTATCCAATCATCGGGTATGAATCGATATATCTCTTGCTTGAATTGTTGCATGCTTCTCAACCAAACTGGGCTGATATGTTCCTATTTTCTATGGCCATATCTCCAATTTAAATCGCTGCTTATATATCCTTATTTTACATTGTCAGTAAGGAAAAGCCTCATATTATATGCTCTTTATATTAAAGACAAGCTTGTAAATCCATGTGCAGGTATTGCATTGTTGTAGACGATATATGGAAGAATGAAACATGGGATGTCATCAAGTGTGTATTCCCCATGACCAGCAGCGGCATAATAATCACCACCACTCGTATGAAGGATGTTGCTAATTCATGTCGATCGCTATTCGGTGGTCATATTTATAATATAAAAGCTCTTGATATTGTTCACTCAAGACAGTTATTTTATAGTAGATTATTCAAGTCCGAAGATGATTGCCCTTCATACCTTAAACAGGTTTCTGAGCAGATCTTGGAAAAATGTGATGGGCTACCTTTGGCGATCATTGCTGTATCTGGTTTGTTGGCTAACATAGAAAGAAAAGAAAGTATATGGAATCAAGTGAAAATTTCAATTGGTCGTGCACTTGAAAGGAATCCCAGCGTTGATGGAATGATGAAGATATTATCACTTAGTTACTTTGATCTGCCTCCTTATCTAAAAAGTTGCCTCTTACCTAAGCACATATCTAGAAGATTCTATTATTAAGAAGAAGGGCCTGATAAGAAGATGGATTGCTGAAGGATTCATTCATAGAGAGGGTAGATACACGGCATATGAGTTAGGAGAAAGGTGTTTTAATGAACTACTCAATAGGAGTTTGATCCAACCTGGGGAGACAGATGACTATGGCAATGTGGATAGTTGTCGAGTTCATGACACAATTCTTGATTTCATCATATCCAAGTCTATTGAAGAGAACTTTGTTACCGTACTTGGTGTTCCCATTATGACAATTGGGAACCAAAGTAAAGTTGTCCGTCGACTCTGTCTACAAGGTGTCAAAGAAGAAAGTTCAACAGTACTGGCAGAAGGTCTCGTGTTGTCCCATGTCCGATCACTTATTGTGGTTAGAGGTTCAATGGAAATCCCTTCTTTGGAGGAGTTCAGACATCTGCGTGTTCTTGACTTGATGGATTGCTCCGAATTGAAAGATCGTCATCTTGAAAATATAGTGAGGTTGTTCCAGCTGAGGTACCTGAATCTCAAAGGTACAGAAATAAGCAAGCTCCCAGAACAAATTGGTTGTTTAGGATGCTTAGAAGTGCTGGACGTAAGAGGGACTTCTCTAAAGGAATTGCCTGCGTCTATTGTTAATCTCAGAAAATTGTTGCATCTACTTGTTAGTCATGCTGTGAAATTTCCTGATGGGATTGCGAAGATGCAAGCACTGGAAACGTTGGAAGATGTGAGGATCTCTGTTCAGCCATTTGACTTCCTATGTGGCCTTGGTCAACTAATGAATTTGAGGAATCTGCGGCTTATCATTGATTTCAGAGTTGAATCTGACACTGAGGATACAAATGCGCTTCGGGAGGACCGCAACAAAGCTATCGTCTCCTCCCTGTGTAAGCTAGGCACCCAGAATCTGCGCTCCCTGACTATTTGGCTTCAGCGCAACCTCTTACATGGGGAATCTTTGTGCCTGCCTACCCTTGAGGACCTTTCTTTCTATTTGTCGGCCTTCCCACAGGTTCCAGCATGGATGGGCTCCCTCAGAAACCTCCAACGGCTACGCCTTGCTGTGGAGAGGCTCAAGCAGGACGACCTCTGCACCCTTGGGGCTTTACCCAGTCTGCTCTTTCTGGATCTGAATCAAACAGAGTCAAACAGAAAGCTCAGATTTAGTGATGAAGTTGGGTTCCGATTCTTGAATACTTTTATTTATCACGGATATCTTAAACCAGTAGATCTGATGTTTGGGACAGGGTCCATGCCGAAGCTTGAAAAACTAGAGCTTCATGAGTTTCGCATGGTTGAAGCTAACTCTCTTGGCTTTGGAATTGAGAACCTCCCCTGCCTCACTAGTGTCAAATGCATTGGTGTTAAGGGTGATGATGACATAGTTGAAGCCGTGAAGACTGTCATGGAGAGAGGAGTCAGCACACATCCCAACCACCCTAGTCTACTCTTTCAGAAATTGCTACTTTGAATTAACAAGCCAACAACAGGGGAGTTGCTTCTGCTCGTCGTCTGGCCACCGGTTCTCAAGTTTAATACTAGTGTCTAGCTCGATTCATCTCTCTTTGATGTTACAAAATTGTAGAATTGGTTAAGGCTGTTGCTGTACTGCATTTTCTGTAATAATCAGTCATCCTTATTGATGGTTTAATATTATTGGGCGACCATTCGTAGTCGTCATTCTGTAGTTGTCATGCTCTTTGGCAAGTCGTCATTCTGTAGCTGTACCGGTAATACATTTCTCCTTTGCTCTTTTATCCACCTGTCTGTGGCCGTCGTGTTCTTTCATGAAGCAAGCTTTTGTGCCCCTGTTACGCTCTGCTTCTTCTCAATAGTTTTCTCAATAATTCGGATGATGTTATATATGTTTCCTTACGGTTGTTTACAGCTTAATATAAGCCTGTCAACTGGTATGTATTACTGTCAATTAAATCTTGATTTTACAGTTCATTTGTTAATCATTTGCTGTGGTAACCAGATCAGTACTGGCTGATTATTGGGCACTCGAGTGTTGTGGCTGATCTATGTTGTCGGAAACCATCTTGAGACAAGATTAATTCCTGCTGTCAACAATCCCAGTTCAGAGTTTTCATTCAGAAAATGTGTGCTCTTTCTGAATGGGTAAACTGCCTTCAGTCATAGATTGACGCTGACAGTTGTTTAAATTGGGTAATGCCATTGCATTCTTGGTTAGCTATTTCTGAAGTTAGTAATTTTGAAGGGAGCTCAGTGCCCATGTTATAGGTTCCAGAACTAAAAACTTGATGAGCACTTCTTGTTTTCTCGATGATTTGGATGCTGTTATATATGATTACAGTCCTTCACAGATCAATATGCTGTTGATATATTATATATATTGCAGTTAAATTTCGATTTTAGCAATCATCAATTAATTTGCAGTACGTAGCAGTCTGCAATGAATGTGTCTAAGTTTCTGCAGACATGCCCTTTCTGCTGGTAGTGGTACCCATCATTTTTTTGCAATGATAGTTAAACTCCAAATCGATGCTTGAGGACAGCAGACGATAATCTCTCTACGTTTTTTTTTGTAGACACACCACAGTTGTAGGTGTTTGAGAGAGACCCTTTCTTTTGCTTTTTTTTTGTAAATTGTGCATCTTCAGTTGTTTGGTTTTTGTCCCCGATAAATTCAGTCATGTCCTTGTGGTTATTTCCTTCAGCAAGTTCGTTGGCAAACTGAAGAAGAAGGCACCGGGCCCATCTCATTGCGGGTGGGATCCCTTGTCAACAACAAGAACAAAAAAAGGAGTGCTGGTGTCGAGTGGAGGAAGTCGGGCTGGAAGACCTCTGCAACCTTGGATTGGAGGCTTGCCTGCTCTGCCCACTAAAAACCAGGTTCAGAGTCATTGGTACACATGGTTGAGCATTGAGTACACTTTGGACCAAACCTAGAAAAACTCATCAACAGGCCGGGGAACATCCAGTACGGTTTGAAAAACATCCATGCCGATATTGCATTTTCAGCTACATTATACATTGTCTGCAGTGGATGTCCATTTTCGGAGTTTCAGTTTACATGTCCTTTCTGCTTGTTTCGACGCATGTGCTTATGTAGTTCTACTGCTGCTGGTTTCGAAATTGCCCGCAAGAAAGCTAATGACCATGCAAACTGCAATGGATCTCCCTTTGTACACATTTGTATACCATTCAGATCGTGATTTGCCTTGTTATTTTTTTCAGTGGGTGATGTTGGAAAGGAGGCACTCTCTGTTTCCTGGGTGAAGATGACGCTGATGGACAGAGACCCATTCTGAACTCAGTGCGCTTTCGATCTCTTGAGGAGACAAAGCATTTGTACCAATGTTTCGTGGATCCTTCAGTGGCAGCTGACAATCCACACCAGCCAGCTTTAATTTTGTTGAATAGCCTCAAGAGGTGCTGCTGCTCAGGCATCTGCATGATGGTGATGGACACTGCATAACAGTAACAGGGGCTTCTATTATTTCACATGATGAGTACATCACCAAGCCAAAAACCAGCAACTTCACCAAACATGAGAGTTTCGGCTGGCTCATCAAGCCCATTTGAAACCAGCAGCGGTCGCAACGCACGGTTCAACCTTTGAGCCGCAGAGAGAGACAGACATCCTGATCATGTACATGAGCCAAGGAAGCACAAGTTAAAGAGTTGCCTTGCGAATCAATCATCATCAACAGAAAAAAGGAGTAACATCTCAAAGAGCTTCCCAGGAAGAAAACCGCGGCTTCATCATACCATTTCGTCTAGAAACAGAGCACAGGGACCAAAACCAAACTCATTGGCTAAAAGTAAAAAAAAAAAAAAAAGATAAGAAGGTGTTCGTGTGTTCAAACAAGATTCTACAGGAAACCAATTCGTCTAGAAACAGAGTACAAGTGCTACTCCCTCCGTTTACTAACGTACAAAACTCTGGAGTACCATCCACTCTGTTAGCGTACCAAACTCTAGGCGCCCCAATTTTTTGGATGGTCTTTGAGTGGTTATTTTTCCAAAACCCGGCTACCTAGTATATTAGAAAATGAACCAAGTTTTAAAATATATTCATAAATTTAATAGATGTTCAAGAAATTTAAAAATTCAAAAAACGTTCTTGAATTTTGAAAAAACTCTTCAACTTTTTTTTCATGAATTTTGAAAAGCTTGTGAATTTCAAAATTGTTCATAAAATTGTAGAATATTCATAAATTTCAAAAAAAGTTCATAAAAATCGCTGCATTAGTGTACCATCCTCTGAACGCCCCTTTGTTACTTCTTTTTTTCCTAATAGATGTCTACCGCATGATTTTAGCAAATGCTCTAATTTTTTTAAAAGATGGTCAAAAATTTATAAAAATATCATGAATATCAAAAAATGTTAGCGAATTCAAGAACAGTACTCCCAAATTTGAAAAATATTTATGAGTCAGAAAAATTTTATGAATTTCTATATTATTCTTGAATTTTAAAAAATATTTATGAATTTCAAAAAATGTTCACTAACTTGAAAAGGCCTTGTGGATGGGAGCTCTGTTCCGCACATAATGGGTGCAGTGGACAAACAAAAGCTCACCTTGACACAGCGACTATGTGGGTCCTCGTTTGTTGGCCCAGGTTTTTTTTTTTGCGCCCAAAACATGCTTGCTTTATTGAACAGTAGTGTTCATAGGAATACAATTCAAAGATGGGTTAATAAGCCACACATGGCGCCCCAAACCTAGTCCAAAAGCATGTCTGGCGAGGCTATGGGCCTCTTGATTCGAATCACGCCCTTCAAAGATGAAGGTGCATTGCTGAAATTGTGCCGCCGTAGTTGTAATCTCCTTCACAATACTTGCATACATTCCTCCTATACCTGATTTTTTTTTAAAGTAGTTGGATTTTTTTAAGTTATTGGATTAAAAACTGATGGTGAATTAGAAACATAAAATTATTATTTTGTTGAATTATCAAATATTCAGGTATTTCAGAAAAATATTCAGGAATTACAAAAAACAAAAATGGAAAACTTTTGACATGACCCTCGCCCTAATGCATTAACGTCTTGCCTGGAAACCTTTTGTGATGTGTTAATTGACTCATAATGCTGTTCTTAAATTTCTGTTTCCTGACCTCTGCAGCTCAAAGGTTCAACGGCGCTCTGCCCTGCAACTGTTGCTGGCTCTGCTACTGTTTCCAAATGGGCCAGTATTATGGTGATGTTGGATAGAGGGAGTAATTGAGATGCGAACTGTAACACTCATATGTTATTTTCCTCCTTTTTTTCATTGATACGTCCTCTGGTGATGTTGGCTCTCTATTTCCCGGATGAAGATGGTGCCGATGTATTCAGACCCATCCTGAACTCGGTCTCTTGGGGCGACAAGGTATTTGTACCAAATTTCCGCAGATGCTTCACTAGCAGATGTGGTGCTTGACACAAGAAATTCTCTTGTTGAATGGGATCAAGACTCAAGAGGGGCTTCTATTACTCGCATCAGTATCTCACCAAGCCAAAACCAAGCAACATCACCAAACATGAGAGTTGCTCCTCATCCGCTTTTGAAAATAATTTTCAGAGTTTTCAGCTACATTCATGTCAACAAGTACATTTTCTGCAGTGTACATGTCTAAGTTTCAGCGGGGCATGCCGATTCTGCTTGTTTCCACGAGGAGGGGGTCAACTGTGCCTGCAGATGCTTACTCACTTCTATCTTTATTTCAAAATCGGCTAGTACTACCCTACTGCCATTCGAGAAAGCTACTGTATTTAACATGCATGCCGACTGTAATGGCTCTCTCTGTCTACACATTTGTATGCCATCTGGGTTGTGGTTTTCCTTGTTATTTTTCCAGTGATGGATCCTGGTGATGTTGGAAATGGATGAATATGATGCCGATGGATTTGGGCGTCGAAACCGCTACCAGATAGATCGCCAAGGTGTTGTGCATCGAAATCGCCACAATCTGTAGGCAGTTAATGCATCGTCAGATCTCTCCCGGGGACAATTTTACCCTGATTAATTTGGAAGTAGAAGCCAAGAATATCAGAGTTGCTGGTTGCTGCTCCTGCTCCTTTTACATTCGGCAGTTGATATATAACATCATGCACTGTACTGGCAGTTGATACATACGTGAATCAGAATCGGCTACTCCCTAAGTAGCTGTGGTCCTCCAGTCAGAGATTGAGATGCCGGCAATTGTTCAAACTGGATGAAGCCATTTTGTTCTTGATTAGTTATTTCCTTGAGCGAGTTCTTCCGCAAACTTGGCATCAAGGAAGCTCAGTTGTACGTAGTATCCTGAACTTAAGCAATTCATTCGTGAGATCTTCTCGTTTTCTCGACGACTTGCATGATGCTATATATTCTTACAGTCTTTCTGACTTCAGTACAAGATTGCTACATAGTATTGCTGCTGTTAAAACTTGATGTTACCAGGCATTAATTAATTTTGCAGTAGCAGATGATTATTGCTAGCTAGCTAGATGCTTGAGGACAGCAGATGATTATTTCTATGTCCTGGCTGATGTTGGGAACGGACACACTCTGTTTTGTTGCCTCATGTATTCATGCTCAGCTCAGGCTGTATCTATCTTCAGCTATCAGGGCACAATTTCGTGGAGGCTGCAATCTCAAAGGTTCATCACCATTTCAGCAGAGATCGTCTCCTTGACAGCACCACCAAGGTTCCCAATGTCATTCATACAAGTGTTACAGTTCACATGTTAATTAGCTCACTTTAGCAGCCCATTTGAACACAGCAGCAGCAGTGGCAAGGCACGGTTGAACCTTTGAGCTGCAAAGAGAGAGACAGATACATCCTCATCATGTACATGAGGCAAGGAAGCACAAGTTAAAGAGTTGCCTTGCGAATCAATCATCATCAACAGAAAAAAGGAGTAACATCTCAAAGAGCTTCCCAGCAAGAAAACTTGTTGCATAGGTTGCCCTTTTCACATACCTATCTGAAAGGGAACTGAAATTCTAACAAGCCTCAACTGCAAAAATGCTTTCGACTGCTGAGAGGAAAGACATACAGTTTTGAATCACAACCAACCAGGATGATCTAGAACTAGAAATTCACAGCATTCAACTACATAAATGGAGTAAAAAAGGCTGGCCAAAATGGTCACGACCTGCATCCATCTATACAATACATATGCATCCATCCATACTCATGTCGCAAAGATAAGCAACTCTGCAGCGTGCATATATCAGCTACATGCATGCAACAGTAAACAAAACTACATAGTATAAAGTACATAGAAGTTCTGACTTAACATGGTTGCAAACAAGTAGAGCTCGTCACTGGGGAGTCTGTCTCAATCCCATTACACAGCTAGCACTTGAAGCATTACACGGCTGCAAATCGTTTGTTCACAAGACCGAGGAGCAACTAACTACTCAGGGGAACACTCGAATCGCTGAACAGCGGAACATAGGGAAAACATGATATCAAATCGCCTCGCCCAAAACTGATGAGAACACGAGCCTCCTCGCGAGCACTGTCATACGCCATCATTGTGTTGTCGCGAAGATTAGCATAGCAAATCAAACTACGATCTGGATGACATGAGATGGCACTGAATTCATAGCCATAGACTGTACCTGTACTGTTCAGCAACTTGTTATTGTTCAAATGGTGCTTCAGCATCCATTCATCTGAATCATAGTTCTGAAGACACCAGATGGAAACTGTAAAACGATTATCTGTGTGCAGCATGTAATGCAAGTGCCCCTGGGACCGACCAAGAATACCAAGCTCGGACCTTTGCACTCCTTCTGGCACTGGAATTGCCCTCCATTTCTTCCCCTCCAAGTCTACCGACACTACTGTAGACTCAAAACTAACAAAGTGCAGCATGCCTTGATGAAACAAATGTCTGTTGTGGCAAATACTGGTATCAGATTCCCACCCACTTTCTTTGAAGCTCCATGACCCAGTTTCCGACGAGTATATATTTATGCCTGTCACATTCAGGCACTCTTTCAACATAATCTGAAACACATGGAAATGGGAGGAAACATCACGATCAAAAGCCAAATGAAAGGTTTCTTCCTGAGCTACACAACTGGAGTCAGCTGGCAACGTTGGTAACACGACCCATCTCTCTGTGGCAGGATTGCAAACTAAATGGCGGAACGGACGCTGAGAAGAGCAGCACAAGAGAAGGCCATCACAACAGTCCTCCAGCCTGACGAGCTCAAACTCAGGCGGCAAGAAGGGGAAACTGGGATCAATCTGAGGTCCTTCACCGATATTGGCAAAGTGCCGAGCTACTTTGGGACAGCGTCCTATGTCTTCGGTGTCAAAGAAGAAGCCGGCGAGGGTCTGTGGGAGCTTCTTGATGTGTTCAGGGTGGGAGATGAGGTCGTACCAGTGCGTGTCGACACACTTGCAGCAGCAAAGCGACTTAAGTGGCAGCCGTGACAGGATCTCGACGATGAGTGCGTCAGGGAGGTCGGTGAGAACAGTCTGCACATTTCTCTTCCTGCTAGATCTCCTCGCCATCGCAAAAGAAGCACAATCTGAGATCGATTAGTACTTGAAATGTCAGATGATCCCTATAGTAACATAAAAATGAATTGTTGTCAGGTTCAAAGCTTGTCACCCTGTGATAAAATAATTAAAATGCATATAACAAGCAGCTACTTATGAACATAATGCAAAAATAGGTGGTTCAAAAGAACAGCACAATCTTGAGAAGGTAAGGGCTAAGCCAGGTCCATTGAGTTGGTGCTTATTTCAAACACAGATCAGAAATAGATTTATTATTAACAATCTTCATGTGCAAGTACTTAATCAGAGTAGTAGCTGCGCATCTGTGACGTACGTTCAGTTCCAAAGATTTAAGGAACTACTGTAGTAACAAGAAACTCAAAATCAGGTTATGCATGCAGGTACAGCCACAACATGTCTTGGAGATGCTTAGAGAAAAACTCTGAATTGCCTTGCTGCTTGCACCACTATCAACAACGACGACGGTGCCTGTGCTTCCTTCTGGAATGACAGTTGGTAGATAACAATGCAAGCTAGCTGCCCAAATGGGATGACGAATAACAGATGGATGAGAGGCCATCAGAGAACGAATTCTGAGGCGCAATATAACTCTTTCATCAGGATAAGACCGCTTGTTCTCACCACTCACGTGGGTTATGGCCAAGACGTTATAACCTGGAACCTCACAGCTAATAACTGCTACTCTACTGGCTCTTCCTACAATCAAATTGGGGAACCCAGGCACTTACTCTGCAATGCTACCTATATACAGCAACATGATATAGCAGATAGGGCAGGACGATACTAATAACTCTATGCGTATGCAGCCAAACAAGCATAAGGATCAGTTTACTACCTATGGCAAGCACTCCGTTAACACCTATCTTGTGGAAGAAATGATTAAGGGGAAGATATGGTTCAGGTTCAGGACAACCAAACCAAAAATCAGATGGCAACTGGTAAACATATAATGCAGCTTGAACATGAGGATCCATACCAAACAAACTAGGCGGCATTTGCAACCAAACAAACAAATGCAGGTTGAGCGTGAGCAGCCATACAGGTAACTAAAACAAGCATATGAATCACTTGGACAAACGTACGGTGCACCATGGAAACGAATTTTTGCATTTCTGACGAAGAGGCATTACCGCGAACACTTTGCGTGCACTTTGTCGACGCAACCTGCAGGCACTGCGGCTTGGGCGCGCCCGGTGGCAGAGATCCGGGCCAACGTGGCCGTGCGTCCAGCTGCAGGACTCCGCGGCGCGCCCGGTGGCGGGGGTCGAGGGAGGAGGAAGCTGGCGGGCGGCCGGCGGCGGGGGTCGAGGGAGGACCAAGCTGGCGCGCAACCGGTCGGTGAAGGGCCTTGGCTTGTCGGCCACGCGCGTCGCCAGCGGCTGATTACGGGCGGGCGGCGGAGCTCGAGCGGTGATGAGCCGGCGGTGAGGAGTGGAGCAGAGTTGAGCGGTGATGTATCGCTTGTATTGTTTTTTTTTTTTTTGAGACAAGGTTTTCTGCCCTGTAGCATTGGTTTGGTTCTGTGGGTTTTTTTTTTCCTGGTTTTCATTGCTGTTTGTTTTTTACATTTGTTTCCGCTAGTTTGTTGATATTTTTTAAATAATATTCATAAATTTAGGAAAAAAAATATCTTGAAAAATGTTGGCATCTTAAACATATTGTTTGTATCATTCCACAAAAAATGTTCACGATATATAAAAGTTGTACATTATGCATTTGAAAAAAAGGTCATCATGCATGAGAAATGTTCACTGTGTATTCAAATATTCACTATGCATTTAAAAGCGTTCAACGTGTTCAAAACAATGTTCAGTGCGTATTAGAGAGATGTCCAACATGTATTTGAAAATGATTCAGCGTGTATTTTAAAAAAATTAGATGTGTTTAAAAAATGTTCGTTGTGTGTTTAACAATTTTTCAACACGTGTTAAAAATCAGCGTGTATTTGGAAAATTTACCATGTATCTAAAAATATTTAACATGTATCCGAAAAAGTAAAAACCAAAAAAAACTGTAAAAGAAAACCAAAAATCACTACACAAAAACAAAGGAAAGGAAAATAACCATACGAAACCTCCGCAGCCCGCATGGATTGTTACACAATGACTTCTACTGGGCCACGACCCATAACTGACCACACCCTGAGAGACATGAGAGCAATTAGTTGACGAACGCTCCTTTGGGAGCCTTTTAACGACCAGCGTCACTTGGTGCGTTCTCATCCGACCCGCCATGTTTCGCGCTCTGGGCGCTTTCTCCGAATATTTTTTCCGCATATGTTTCCGGCTTTTTAAACAGTTTTTTTTTTACGTTTCGGTTTTCCAACGGTCTTCCTTAGCTTTTGGATCAACTTTTTTTTTGTAAAAGACTTTTTTCCCGTGAAAAAAATGTGTTTTTTTCACGAGAGTCACGGTTTTGCTTCTGCGAGCGGCATGGTTTTGCTTTCGTCAGAGTCACTGTCGTGCCTCTCGGAAACGAAAAAAAAAACGTGTTTTATGTTTTCCTCCTTCCATGAGAGGCACGGTTTTGCTTTCGCAAGAGTCACGGCCGTGCCTCTCAGAAAAAAGTGTTTTTTTGTTTTATTTTCCTTCTGCGAGAGGCATGATTTTGCTTCCGCGAGAGGCACGGTTGTGTTTTCGCGAGAGTCACGGCCATGCCTCTCGGAAACTAAAAAAACGCATTTACTGTTTTTTTTCTTTCGCGAGAGGCACTATTTTGCTTCCGCGAGAGGCACGTTTGTGATTACACGAGAGGCACGTGTGTGCCTCTTTCAGAAAGGGAAAAAACCCGTGCTCCCGGTTTGGTTTTTTCCGTGAAAAAAAATTCATCAAAATCTATCAACATGGGATCTAGTTTTGAAGATCTCGATGGGAGGAATCCAACGATAAAAACGGTTTGAGATCCCGGCCACCGGCGGCGGAGCTCGAGCAGTGATGAGCCGGCGGTGCCGTGCGGTGTCGACCAGCCACGGGGTTTGAGCGGTGATGTATATGGCCTACGGGAAGGAGATGCGCCGGCCCAGTACACCGTGTACACCATTAGTTTGGTTCTGTGCATTTTTTTCCTCAAAAATGTTTACTGGTTTTTTTAAATTAGTTTCCACTAGTATTTTGAGTTTCATGAAATTTGCAAATAATATTCATACATTTAGAAAAATATTCTTATCATTGAAACTGTTGGCACGTTAAAAAATATGTTTGTCCCAATTAAAAAATGATCATGATATATTTAAAGAATTGTACATTATGGACTTAAAAAATGGTCATCGTGCATGAGAAAATGAACATCATTTACACTAAAAAAATTGCCCTGCATTTGAAAAGTTCAACGTGTTCAAAACAATGTTCAGCGTGTATTACATAAATGTCCAACATGTATCTCAAAATGATTCAGTGTGTCTTTAAAAAAATCAGTGTGTTTTAAAAAATGTTCATCATGTATTTAAAAAATTCAACATGTGTCCAAATAATATTAAGCGTGTAATTGAAAATTTTGTCATGTATCTAAAAAATTAACATATATTAAAAAAAAGGGACTGCTACGCGTCGACCGATGGATCTTATTAAAGGATCTGCCGCCTCACGAGCCATCGGATTTGACACAATGGATTAGCCAAACATCTCTCACTTTGCAACAAATGTATTGGCTGCGGAGACATTTCCAATAGAGGTTATGTTGCAGGGGTTTTTCCAATATAGGTTGTGTTGCCGGATTTATTTTTTTACAATACGGGTCATGTTGTGATTTTTTTTTTTGCAACATGGGTCTTGTTGCGGTTTTTTTTAATGTAACATATGTCCTTGGTCGGTTTTCAGCAAGGGAATAGTTGCAGAACCCCTTTCTGAAATAATGGACCAGTTGCAGAACGTGGACACAGAGGGGTTGGCTCCCGACCATCTGATTAAGAGCCCATTTGAAAGACATGTAGGTGGCGGGTACTTGCACAAGAACGAGTGGTTGAAGCGAATCATTTCGACATGAATCTAAAAAAGTTAACATGGATAAGAAAATCTTCGACATGTATTTGTAAAAATATACACATATATTAAAAAATTATAAAGAGGAAGAAGAAGAGGAGTCAAAGACACATACATAAAAAATAAAAATAAATAAAAACTCATAAAATTCTTAAAAAAAACAAAAGCAAATACAGAAAAACAGAGAAAAGGAAACGGAACCTTCCCAACCACATGGAATGTTACACAATGAGTCCTACTGGGCCACGACCCATAATTGACCACCCTTTGCTTTTGCGTCAGTACACGCTAAACCTCCGACTGGGTGGGCCCGGTACCATGTTAGGTTGGGTTCTGTAGCGTTTTTTTTGGTTTATTCATTTTCCTTTTTTTCATTTTTTGGAAATAATTGGATTTCTAAAATACTAAAAAATATATGTATTTTTATAATGTTTCCTGTATTAAAAACAATTGCAGCATGTATTACAAAAACTTTGCCATGTTAAAAAAGTTCATCATGTAGGAAAAAATGCTCATCATGTTTAATAAAAATGTTTATACTGTATAAGGAAGATGTTCACCTGTTTAGTAAATTGTTCATTCTGTAGTTTAAAAAGGAAAAATGAAAAAGGAAAACTATACAATAATAAAGGAAACCATTGCCGCTTGAAGCAAAAGTCGACATGTCGGCTGCAGCAGAAAAATGTCGAGGCACACGGTCGTCATCGTCGTAGGTCGTGGGTACCCGCGGATGCAGCAAACCAGATCGCCGGATCCAATAAAATGTACAGCTGATCCCAGCAAAAAAAGAGGCCTGGTCACCGGTACCAGCAAATCCGGCTTCTGGATCCAACAAAATTTGCAGTCGGTTGTAGCAGCTTTCCAGCCTGGCGACCCCCTTGGTCACAGCAAACTCGGGCACCGGTTGTAGCACGGCCGCTCACCGGTTGCAGCACGCAGCCCTAAAAGCTGACGGTGAGCATGCACTTATCCGACTTTCCTCGTGTGGCCATGGCCGGCGAGGGGAATTGGTCA